ACAACCACAACCACAACCACCTACAGCCACTACATCCACCGCGACCCTACTCCCCGCCCGCGAGATGGGTCTACATAGCCCAAGATGGTGCCAACATCGCCCCAACCACAACCACAACCACAACCACTACAACCACAGCGACGACACCTACAACAACCAGGCAAGCGCGACAACCCATGCGACACCTCATGTTTACCACATGGCCGCGGCGACCCCCCCTGCGTCCCCCCGCTGCCCCTAGCCTGGTAGACACCTGTTCCCAGTGATCTCCTTCGCCGCACCTCCCACGGGTCTTCTGGCTGGTAGACACCTGCTCCCAGTGATCTCCTTCGCCACGCCTTTCCACAGTCTGATTCCGCGACAAAAACGACCCAAACTTCCTCCTCAGAGCTGCTCTCTCGCTTCCAAACGTCCAAAAAACGACTCCAACTTCGTCCTCAGCGCTGCTCTCTCGGTCCCAAACGTCGCTTTCTGACGGTCTCTGCCAGAACCCGTTCTCGCACCTCCCACGGATCTTCTGGTTGGTAAACACCTCTTCCCAGTGATCTCCTTCGCCACAGCCGGATGTAGCAGAGTTCTCTGACGCGCTCCCCCATCATTTGGGGTCGGCGGATATGTACAAACAATATGTGTATATATATATACACACGTACAGGTACACACACACACATATATATATATACAGGTACACACACACACATATATATATATATATATATTTATTTACTTATTTATTCACAGGATTCCCTCCAGATTGCAACATAGCTGGGACACTTGAGCCTGGTTTTGGCTGCAATCTTCATGTGGAATCATGAGGATCTCTTAAGTTTGGGAGGAAGATGGATTGACTGAACCCACGTGGACTGGTCGCAATCAGAGGCCAAAGATCTCCAACCGGAGGCCGGTTAAACGATGGCGAAACAGCCGCGAGGGTCAGGGAGAGGAAGGATTGCAGACCCTTCCGCTGGAAATTCGGGCAGTCTGGGAGTTGGTGAAGCGTAGATCTAGTGCTGATCTATCACAGAGTGCTGATCTCCCGCATGTTGATATTCTGCTTTCTTCTTACATGTTTTGAAAAAAACAACAAACATGAGGAACTTCTTTGACATGCATTCCGACCTGGGCCAGGCATACAGACCATCAAGAGGTGGGCGAAGTCCTGGAAGATGCGCCACTGTGTTTTTGTTTTTTCAGTCAGGGTTTAGGGTTTCGAGAAACCCAAGAAGTTGGGTTTTTGCATTCCCCTCAGAGGGTGATCCGGATGCAGTTACACCTCCGCCGTGACGCCGACCGCACCGTGACCTCCAGGTGCCGGAAAAATGGAAAGTTGACTCTTCCTACCTTCAGGCAAAGCCAGGGGGCTGAACGAATGCGGAATCCAAGAGGTAAGCCTTGCGATTTGCCTGCTGTTCCAGATGTAAACGTAGCCCGGCGCCGGGAGGTTCGGCCAAGATCCCGACAAATCAGTGAGAGCAGTGGGCGTTGAGTCAAGCATCCAACGAATGGGTGCTTGCCTGATGGGTTTTGGCTTTGACCAGATACAAAGACACTTTCGGACCGCATACAGTTTGGGTGTGTTTGTGTGTTGACTCAGACTCCAAAAAAAGGCAGTTCAAGATGGTTAAATTTTCACCGCATGGCTGCTCTATGTCAATGTGGTGTTCTTTGCGGTCCTGAACCAATCCGCATGCTTGTGTGACCAGTCATTCCATGGCCATGTGTTACAGGTTCAACTCTGACCAGCACGGGGTTTGACATGGTAAGGGTGCAGACTACCATGGACTAGTTGGGGAGGTCCAACTCTTTACTGTGTCCGGTGCGTTACTTTATGACCTACGAGATTGATTTGAGAATGGAAGTCATGGTTACATTGGTGCGGATGTCTACAATCAACAGCAATAAAGGCAAGCTCCTTCAATCAAGGGAGTTGTGCGATGTTGTGCCAAGTGCTCAGAAAAGGGAAGTGCTGCTGACTGTGGGTAAACTTGGGTCATGACCAGACAGTGTGAGCAACATCCAAAAGGGTTTGTGCAAAAATCTGTGTGCGAGAGGAACTTTTGTATAGAAATCATGAGGGGACCCCGTAGAGCGATATAGTGAACAACCAAAAGCGATATCAACATATCGAGTTCTGCATTTACCCATAGGTTTTGGCGCTCGCTCTTGTCCAACCATTTGATTGCGAGCAATGCATGCAATGTTACGTTCAACCCGATTGGGATCAACGTAAAGGCCCCTTGAAGGCCTTTGTCAACACAGTTGCAGACAAAAACACAATATATACATATTTAATATATATACACTATACACACATACTCTTGCAGGGTTTGCCTCACTTCGACTGTGACGTCCGAAAGATGCAGGTTCAGAGCAACCTAAGGCAGTCTTAAAACAAACTATTAGTTGGAGGCCACCGCTTCTAGTATTGTTTGCGAAGCTTTTTGGCTCCAGAGGCACTCGGCAGACGTTGCACGCAGGGAGCCACGGACCGGACACGCCATGGACGTGGAACACGGCGTGCGGGTGCTGGCCGAGCGACCGGCCGAAGATTTTGAGCCCACTGAGGAAGAGGCGAGGACAGCGGTCGGTGAAGAACTTGGTGGAGGTCGGGTCGGTGAAATCCGCTTCTCAACGGGATGAAGGCCCCTCAGAGTCAATCAAGTCTTGAACAAGATGTGTTTGTCAAGAGCATTGTGGTGGCGAGATGGTGATGTATAAGTTGATGTATATAATGTTATATATATATATATAGTTATATTGTATAATATATGATGTGTGTCCAGCCAGCCAGAGGTTTCACATGGTTTCACCCTGGCGGCATTTGTTGTCGGAAAGGGGTAACATTGGGGAGCGGTCGCGACACAGAGCCTTCAACACGCCGCTGGATGTGCGAATGTAAAGGTAAGCCGCCTCGCTGACCTTTTTTGTTTTCGCAGTGGTTTGGACATATGGCGCAGGAGTTGCCCTGTTTAGCAACCTAAGCCGCGCTTCCACTTGGCATGGGACCCGGGTAACTATTCGTCCCACCTTGTTGAGCTTCAGCTTCAGCCAGGTGAAGAACTATGCTGAGTGGTTGGGATTGGACCCCAAGGCGCATTCAGAAAAGAGAAGCAAAGATGGAAGGGGGGTGATTCTATTGTTGAAAGAGCATGCCTTCCAATCCTTCAGGCATGTACTTCTCTCCTTCAGATCCTGCATATCTAGCCCATGCCTGAAGTTCTGGATGGTGACATATTGAATTGCTGGAAGAGCATGTGTGAAAGGACGATGCAACATAAATGGAGTGCGCTGGCTTGGGCTCTAGAAATAGCACAGGCCTGGGCCTAGTCTAGCCTCAATAGCGCATGGTCCTTGGTTTCTTTGTTCCAGGTCTTCTTGCCGTGAGCAATCTGTGAACTGCGAACCACTCGCAAAGTTGGGGAGTGCTTAAATAAACTTAAGCCATTGAGCGTTCAGTCTGGCGGGGTGTAGTGTACTTGCGTTGGTAGTAGGTGTCACTTGAAGGCGGGTTTCCATTTAAGTACCGCTGGGCACCTCTTCCTCGGCCTTGTTTTTCGGAATGCAGTGGAATGATATTGGATCGGGGCAAGCTGGACTTGGTGCTTCCCATGTTGCAGCCTTTGACGATCCACACAGCAAGGTAACGTGAGACTCAGGTCGACCAGCACAGGGTTTCACTCGGGAAGAACAAGGTGAGATTGTTAGAGACAGTATGTGAGACAATGGTTATCAGCAACCATGGCATTATGAGTCTGTTCTTTCTTGGGCTGTTCTGGTTCTCAGTCCCTCCAGGAGGATGCGGACTTGATGCATTTAGCACGAGAAGGTCTGAAAGCGCCACTTTCAGAAGGTTGGAAGCCTTGCGCCTGGGCCCAGTTGGCAATTTGACGTACAGAGAAAAAAGAGGCGGAGGATTGTACTACCTGGACTTTGGGACCATTGCAATAGTTCAGACAAATGCTTCTTTCACAAAAGCCGTGCCTCGAGTGCATGTGCTTGGTACGGATCCGCTTTGTACCGGAAATCAGGCACCAATGCAGAAAACGAGATTTTCTACTTCAACTTCCAGACAGGTCAACGGCTTAGAACCTTGAATTGCCTCGAATAATTCAGCTTGAGAATACCATGTCTCAGTTGTGCCATGAGACATAGCATGCTTTGATTGCCATAGCTGAATGGTTCGTCAAGGTTTCGTTCAGGTGAATGAATGCAGCATCCTGCCATTTTTGGTATTGGGCTTGGGGGTCTGGATATGTCTAGCAGCCAACCACAACGCTCAATAGTCGACCTTGCAAGTCTGGAGCGTGTTTTGTGGCCTGGAATTGGTAAGGTGCAACATCATGGACGCATCCTGCAGATGAAGAGTACCGAAACAAGGTACAAGATCTGAAGCTTGCCTTTTCATGGTGCCAGTACTGACTTAATGACATGTTAAGGTATATTGCACTATGTCAGACTATGTCGCAATACTATACAAGACTCAAATCCCTTCTGTATGAACTCATGTCCGATTCTGGAAAGAATGACTTTGTCCAGCGGGAAACAGCACTTTTTGACCTTGACTGCGAAATTGTTACGACATGGACGGGCGGTTTCCATACTGTTTGAGAGAAGATGGACTCTTGTGGACCAAACAGCAAGCCTTGCAACATGTAATTAGCACATTTCCTTGTTCAGTGGTGACTATGCAGGCAGTGGTAGGGGCTCAGGTGGGCTTGGATTCCTCTCATCAGTTCTAGAGGGTCAGAGGTGCCTCAGCGACAGACCTTTGCAAGGAGGACAGTTTTATCTAGTTGCATGTTCAACAAGCCTGCCATGTGGGCACCGCTCGAGGTGAGTGTGAAATGCTCAATAAATGCTCACCCACGAGACTCAAAACAACTGAGAATTGTGTCCTTTATTTGCTGCGCAACCAGCAGCAAGTCCCGATCGCACTTTCCACCGTATCCAGCAGCAGGGAACATCAAGTAACCAGATGTTGCATGTTGCAGTTTTTTGTGCCTGCAAAATTAAAATGCAAGAAGAACTATATATCTTCAGGTATCTTCGGGTATTGTGTTTGGAGACGGTCTTTCAAAAGCCCAACCAGTTCAACAGCCGATTACTGTAGATCCTTAGCAATTCCTTTGTGAGTTGCCCTTTGCAGTCTGAGGAAAAATGCGAGAAATGGGAAGCCAAATCTCCAGAACATTGTGCATGCGCCGTACAGCGGAGTCGGCCACAGACCCGTGCTGGGTCAATCCTTGGGCATTTGCGATTTCCTGAGAAGGATTCTTTGTTGTCGCCGTCGTGCACGAGTGCATTGCCACTGAGAGCGGGTGGCAGATAAGGTGCCGTTTGATTCATGTATACAGTATTCTCACAGGGCTTGCGGGGCCCGACAGAGTCGACATTCTTGGGCCAACTGGCCAAGAAGGGCATGGGATTAAGACGATTTAAGACTAGAGTATTCTTTTTGAAGGATGTCGTTGTTCTCGGCTTCGCAGGCAGCTGGAGTAGGTAGATTGACTGAGCAGTGCCAAATTGTAATTCTGCCTAAGGCGGGTATTTTTGGCCACTGTTCTCAACAGTTGCAACGAACTTGCAACGATTCCAAGTATGCGCAGTGTTGAACGGGCAGTGCATGTGAGCCATTGCCAAAGTATGAGAAGTAGTTTTGTCAAAATATTACAGTATGCTATTATATGCTAACAAAAGATATTTTTATTGTTCTTTCTTACAATTTGGTCTTTCTGGTGTGTTTTCAGGATCCTAGCAGCAGCGCTAGTGCTTCCTTTGGCTGCTTCAGGCAACGAGTATTGCTTGGCCTTGAGGAGTCGACTGCGAGCTGCGTTGACAATGCCTACCGGCTAGCCGTGCCCCATACTTTGCCCCAAGGTGTTAAAGACGCGGGCAGGTGGTGCTGTTTTTGGAACACGTCAAAGAACAGCAAGACGGGAGAAGAATCTGGACTTTCATCCTGTTCATGTCCAGCCTGACTTTCGTTTCAGCTTGGTTTTTCCCAAGCAGGTCGTGTGAGTCACGGGCGAAACTGCACAACCGACAGTCCCAACTTTGATTGGCTGCTACATTTTCCTGTGTTAGCATTCAAGGAAAACATCATTCCAGCAGCCATTCAGTGGCTGGACTACACAAACATGTGACAAAGCATTGCCTCATGAACCCTGGTTGGTGAACATGTTCCTTTCTTCACGCGTTCACGCGTGACAGGTTTGAATACAGACAGTTCAGTGCAGAGGGGTGCATCGTAGATGTTTGTCGGAGATTGAATCCATGCTCCTTGATGGCGGGTGTGAGGAGCCCAAGCGAGATGCGAGCTCATTGAGATCAGAATCGATCAGAATATTTTAGATAAATTTCGTGGGCTGGACTACATTATTTGTGGCCGACTATGCTTAGAACATCTTAGAACAAGAAAGGTAACTATGTTTCAACGCAAGAACTACTGTATCAAGAACTATTGGATCTATGACCCTCCGGAAGGTCTTTGTTGAAGATTTGGATGCTTTGCATGTTGTGCGTATGAGTTTCGACTTGTTGATTTGAGAGCTAGGACGCCCTGTAATGTAGAATGGATGTTGCAGACTGCGTTCACAACTTGATGTCCTTTTACATTGCTTTGTGTGCTAGAGGGATACTTGTCACGTGTGGTTGCTGACTGTGTTTTTTTTTTGACATGTGTACTTTCGAGATGGTCTTTCGCGGCCTAGGTGGTCTCACTTTTCATTCTGAATCGTGCTTTCCTCAGGGAACTGAGGATCCGCATCACATGGAGCGGACTGAGCTGACCGACTTTCTGGCCAGAAATGATCCGATAGCCATGGCGGATGGCGACTTGAAGAGTAGCAACAACCGATCAAGAAAGCAAGGACATGCAAGCACCATTGTGGTTTGCTGTAGACTTTGCAATTCTTTGTTGCTTTGCAGGGAATGGATCCTTGATCTACAGCCTAGAGACTCAAGTGAGGGCCCTGGAAAATTACTACACGGATTTGGACGGATTATGTTGAAGAAAAAAAACACTCATTGAAGGAGCGGAATAACGATCTTGGTACCCAGGATGCTGGTGGATACTGAACAAGCTTGAAGTCAATTTCCACTATCAGGATGACGATGTTTGCATGGGAATGAAAAGATGGGGCTGTCTTGCTTTGTCGCAGGGGTCCAGCCAACTGTCCTCCAACGACAAGATCCGCTTGTCTTCAACCTTTCACGGTTTGGGAGCCAAGAGAGCAGTGACGCAATCCGAACCCAGAAAAAACAAATACAATCAAAAGGAGAGGGGGAAGTTCTGCAAAAGCTTGGTGGGTAAGGTGCCACCGTGAATACAGCACCTCTCCCGCTTAGCCAACGGATCATGTGATGGGCACTTGACACGGTGCTTCATGAAGATGATTGTGCAGACACACTTAGACAATGGTTTATTCAACGCCAGAATCCACAGGGAAAGGAATCAGGGAAACGCAAGGTGAAAAAGTCAGCGCACTTGAAATGTTTAACATGTTGTTTCGCATTAGCCCTTTACTGAATACTTAGCACTTAGCGGTCTGTAATTACGTGCAATAGTTAGGGAGCGAAGCCGCCCAGGTAGAGTAGACTAGAGGAGGGACAGAAGGAAGGCACCGACCCACAGTGTGTCAAGTACCATTTCCTTCTGTTACCTTGAGCAGAAGTCGGGGTACGTGGAAATGGTGTCCCATTTCCATTTCCTCGGATACACCGTCAGCTTCGTTGACCAGGCGACGATGTTTCCTGCCTGGTCCGCTGCTGATAGTGCTTAAACGTATTAAAATAAATTCCTGGATACGGAGTGCGGCACACAAGGTGCTGCAGTGCGGCGCTCGCTCCAAAATTGCCGGCTAACAAGCCTCAAAAAGAAAAGGAAAAGAAAAAGAGCAAGACAAAGAGGGCAAGAGAGAAAGATACTTGTAGGTGTAGAGGCGTGCATGTCTGCCGCACGAGTGGCAAATTACGGAGTCAAAGCCTGAATAGCCACCTGACAAGCCTTAGGAAAGGAAGACAGAAAGAGCAAGCCGAAAAGGGCAAGAGAAAAGATAGGTGTAGCAAAAAAGTGCGGGACCGAGGGGCAGGGAAACGAGCCTCAAGAACAACCTAACGAGCCTGAAGAAGCACCTAACAAACGAAGAAGCCGCAAGAAAGAAAGACGGGGGAGGGGAGGGGTTGGGGGGTTATTCTCCGTATGCTCGGCAGCTTGATAACCGTAAGCTCGGCAGCTTTGTTGTCTGTTGATTCATGGGCGAAAGACAATTTCAGTGAACCATAATCCACGAATGCAGAAACCCGGTGTCAAAAAGTGATGCATGGTGGCATAAGCGCCTCTCTTGCGAGAGGATCACACTGTGCACCCGAATGGGAAAACACAGCGAATCACACTTAGACAATGGTTTATTCAACGCCACAATCCGGAAAGGAATGAGGGATGTTTAATATGACTTAACATGTTGTTTCGCATTAGCCCTTTACTGAATACTTAGCACTTAGCGGTCTGTAATTACGTGCAATAGTTAGGGAGCGAAGCCGTTCGGGTAGAGTAGACTAGAGAAGGGACAGAAGGAAAGGCACCGACCCACAGTGTGTCAAGTACCATTTCCTTCTTTTACCTTGAGCAGAAGTGGGGGTACGTGGAAATGGTGTCCCATTTCCATTTCCTCGGATACACCGTCAGCTTCGTTGACCAGGCGATGATGTATCCTGCCTGGTCCCCTGCTGATAGTGTTTAAGATAATATGTTCCTGGATACGGAGTGCGACAGACACACACCGTATATCTACGCCTACGCCGTGGATCCTGTTTTGATGACTGACTTAGCCAGTTAGCTCATTCAGTACATCCGGAACACAACCAATGTTCGTTGTCAAGAACTTAACTTTATGGAATCCCGGCCTTTGAAACAACTGAGGCATCAGCGCGATTGCCGCCCAGATCTCACCTGTCAAAAGAAGTGGAGGCTGAAACCTCGAAGAGTTCGGGTTGGTTGTATTTATACGGTATGTATATATATATATCTTAATATTGTATATCTAGATGTTTCGACTCGACTAAAATAAACTGTTGTTGGATAGAGGCCACGACGAAGAAATGATTGTAACACCCACTGTGCGAAGGACCAACTGCTTCAATTTGTTGCAATAGTGCCTACCGGAAAAGGAGTAGCAAGGCCGACATTCATCCAACTCGCTGTCAAGTCTGTCGCAGGCCCATTCAGTTTTTTGCAGACAACTGGCATCCGGACACTCGACGCTGACACGTGGCTTGGCTGGGCCTGGCAGAAACCACTATGATTTTCCACACCGATATATGCATATACGGCTAAGTAGTTTTCGTATGTGTTCGTTTTATTTGAGGGGGGGGTCATGGGAAAGGGTATCAGATCAAGGGTGACACCAATCAACGGGTCCATTTTCGTTCTTACAAGGTTTTTTTGGGGAGGTCTCCCTATTTCAATACATACCCATATTATAAGTTCCTGAATCATTCGATCGGATAGACCACGAATGAGGATGATGGATGATGGCAACGCAAACTGGGTGCAGGGTTTCCTCAGCTTCCTTTTTGCGATGGCCTCGCAACATCCGCAAAAGTGCTTTGAGCGGAGCCACCAGTGCCATCCGGTGTTTTGCAGACGTGTGCCAATACACCAAGGTTCCGATTACAATGCTTCCACACGGCCACCGGTGTGAAAATTTTTTGTGTCATGCTGCCGTCGGGGGCCACAGACACGATCTCCTGGATGTGACTAATCAGGCAATATGAATCATGTTAACTATTTCGTTCGCTGGGTGTTCTGGACACAAGTTTGTCTAGCTTCGAGCCATCCAATGATAAGCTGACCATTCTCATCCAACGCTCCTTCTTCAGGCCCTATGTGGATGCTGATATACTTTTACGGCAGGCCTGAGTTTCAAGCTACACGTTGAGGGCTGACTGGAATTGGATGGAAAAAAAGGCGAAGCTGTGAGGGTGTGAGGTCGGTCGTGTTGCGAAACGTCAGTGTTTGAGCGGTTGTAGATGCTGTGAGATGTTGGGGCATGGAGGTCTATAGTCACTACAGCGACTATGTGCGACTTGGATTTCAATGGTTATATGTTTACCTTTTGCACGTGATTGACTTGGATTCCAGCAGGAGTTACACCACGTTACGCTGAGGTTGAAGAATCCATTCTACGAACTCGACATGCCAAACGCTCAGAGTCAGCTGCATAACTGGCATAGCCGGAACATTGACAGTTTTCACAACTAGAGCAGATGTTCTTTGCACAAACCTTCAAACATTGGTCTCAGATCAGCAGTCATGTGCTTATGTTCCGATTCCGATTTCCAATTTTCAACCACTCATCCAGAAGATCCAGAAGATTTCAGTCATCCAACTTTGGAGATGTTCAAAACATCTCGATTTCTCAGATACTCCGCCTGTGGACCATCCGAGGCCCATCCGCTGCGAACCATTTGAGAAAGAGGTGCAAAGAAGCCTCTCCGAGTTCCAGGTGCGATTGCCCGAAACGCAAAGTGAAGTGCATGGCTATCAGCAGTTTCACTGGAACAATAAGAGTCTTCACTTCATGATTCGGCCTGCCACAAAAAGGTGTGCCATGGTTTTACACACACCGACTGGCTCCAAGAGCGCACAAATCTGGTGTGACCCATCCGTTTTGTAGGAGGCCATCGCTATTTGTTTGGAGACCCTTGCTATTGGGTTGGAGGCCATCGCTATCAAGTTGGAGGCCGTTGCCATTACGTTGTAAGCCCTTGCAATTATGTTGGAGGCCATCGCCCATTAAATAGGTTGGAGGCCATTGCTATTGGGTTAGTCTTTGCTGAACAAGTCAAGCTCCTGACTCGAGCTCCTTTCTTGGGTTTCTGAATGAAGGCCTCTCCGGCCTCCACCGTTTGCTTGTCAGGGGCGATGATGCAGCAGCACTGAAGGCGCATGCTCTTGAGTCCAAAAAGGCACAGTGCAGAGAGATCTCATTTGCCTGTTGCAGCATTACTATCACTACTGTCATACCATTGGACCATACCGAAGTCAATAAGCACGATCTGGTGTTGCACGTGCGTAAAGCTAGAATCAATTCGCTGATTGAACTGGTTGCGGGTCAAAGCCTAGCTATTGTTGACGGTTCTTATGGAGGATGATAGAATTCTGCTCATTTTCGGGAACCAACCAAGTTGAGATTGTCGCTCCGTGCGGTTAGAGATCCTTCGTCTAGTGCAGTGGACATGTTGTATCATTTGTCATTATATGTGGCTCGGATACTAGGATACATACCCGGTTACCCAGCCCTAAATGCTGTTTGCACCAAGTAAGTGACCAATTTTTGTTGTAACTGTTTATTTTTGCACTAAATGACAGGATGTTGATGGATTTTGTTTGCACTAAGTGACCCCAAGCAAAGCAAAGCAACATCCGCAGTTCCAGGTTTTGACTCACCAGCCAACATGGTCCGTTGAAGGAACCAACCGTCCTTCTACTCGCCTGCCGCGTCCTTCAGAACGTTTCAGCTCAGAATGGCGGCCAAGGGATGCGGTCTGTAGCTAGCTAGCTAGCAATGCTGCCCAGGTGCGAGCGACGCAACTACGTGATTTGCACGATGTCAAGAACGGAATTGGTCAAGCTTCATGTCAACGACACCGACCCTTCAACTTAAACGGCGTAACGATGCGTAACGGTGTAATTCCATGTAGAGTGTTGTAATCAAACATATGGAAACAATGCTCAATTTAGCCTCAAACGTTCCCTGATGATCCGAGGCTTTCATATGCTTCGACACTACGAGTCTGTAGGTGTTCGACGACGGTGTAGGTGAATTGCTACCCCCTTCATACTTCATACCTCTCATGTCATGGACTTGACTGAACATGACTTCAAGAAACAGATATTGAGCTGGCGTGCCGGCCACGCACACGTCCTGTGCTGGTCCGTGTAGCTCCTGCTGTCAACGGCTCCTTTTTTCAGGCACTTTTGCCCTAAGGGCTGTGCCTGGACACACTTTCTACTCGGTGGCCAAGTCCCCTTCACTTACCTGTGTTCCTTTGGAGCCGTTTCTTTTTCCTCGGCATCATGTGTACGATCACGATGCCTAGTTCATCTTGTCTTTTGAACATTGTTATGTTCTTGTAAGTGTGTCTCACTATGTGACTCGAGCGTTGAGCGTTGCTCAAAGCTAACAAACAGATACTGTAAGGTTCTATCCCTCACCGTCACCCCAAACACTTTGAAGCTTTCAAGCGCAAGTGCTCTTCGTGTGCCCGTTTTCAGACCTTGAGCAGCATGCCGCAGCAGCTCCGGAGCGGAGGTTTTCGATTGGGCGGGTGATGAAACCAAAGGACGGGTCCGTACTTACAGAATCCGAGATTTGGTACAGGTGCTCCAACCACACAAGGGCCCCATGAAAGGAACAGCTGCGCTTGACACATGACATCTTGGTTCTAGATGCACTTCACAATTTGCAAGTGTGGTGTTCGAAATTGGGCGGTGGCACTTGTAAGAAAGCAGCATGCTTTCAGATTAGCGTGCTTGGTTGTTCACAAGGATTGGAGCCTATTGGTCCATGAACAGTCTCATTACCTACTGTCTCTCATAATTAGTCTTATGAGTGTTAGTTTTAGTTTTATGTATATTCTGACAAAAATGACCAGCCCAAAATGACCTTCTAGTATAGGGCAAGAGTGAACAATAACGACATGAACGACTTTCCAGGGCGTTGAGTTGCCAGGCAATGTCATCCTGAAGTGGAGTCCAAACCTCGAGAATGGCGAAGCCTTGCCACGGCCGGAGCTCACCAGGACAGCAACGCTGGCAATGGCTGAAGCATGTTGAAGAGAAATGCCAAATGTCCACAATATATAACCAACAGGCTTCGCTCAACAAAAAACAGGATAGAATTCTGGCAGACCACCTGAAGCCCCTTTTTGATGCAAGGAAACGTGCTTCCAACAGCCGCGACAGGATATTTAGCAACTCCCGGACGGGGCGCACTGACTGGCACCGAAACCAGTTCGTCCAGACCACTCAGCTCTTGCGAAGCGCTGGGAGGAAATCCTTGAAACAAAGTTGGAATCCAATTGTTGCTGATATTTGTCACCGGCCCTCGAGTGTCACTAGATACTTGAAACCCTCATAAAGACTGGAAGTGACGGCGCAGATTCTTCAGACCTTGTCAGACCGCGCCGCTTGATGGTGAGCTGTTGTGTCGTGTTGTGTCAAAGTAGTTGACCATTCTCCACAGCTTCACCGGTCGAAGTCTAGAAGGCCGGTCTTGGGGGACAGATCAATCAAATTCAAGCAAACAACAAGTAAAATCAATTTCAATCAAATTCAATCAAACAGATTTTTTCCGTCTTCTTTTTTTTGCAACGAAGTTCTACTGCTCAGGTGCCACTGCCATCCCGTCCTCCGTGGGTGCACTCAGAGTGCCGGCGGGTCTTGGCCACCATCAAACCTTGGACACCTCCGCACAAAGGAGTGAAACCTGACCAGTGAAGTGCTGCTGTGAGCAAGTGCACCTCGGAGTTCGTGTTGGGATCTGAATATAAGATAATATAAGCAAGGACGCTACTAGGAGCAAGTGCATCGCTTCTAGTAACAAGTGCCTTATTGGTAGTAACAAGAAGCTATTAGAAACAAGTGCCTTACTAGTAGTAAGTCCCACTCATTCGGTCCTGGACTCAAGCAGAAGGTGGCGACATGTCGAGGCCGGAACAACCTCCAGTGGAGTATGTCCCGCCCCAGCATCGGCAGCATTTGATCTATTTGGCTGCGCACCCAGCAACGCAAGGTCAGGATCGGCTTCGGTCCTGTCCAGATCAAACGTGCACATCACCAAACAAACGAGCACACTGAAGTGGCTTGTCCAAACTTGTTCGTTGAGTCACAACGTGCTTTTGTACTATAATAGTTCATGAGTCATGAGTTTTGGAGCCGCAGCCTCATACGTAAGCAGTTGTGCATTTGATGTCGAAAGTAAAGTACTTGGTTTGAAGTCGATCTTTGAGTGCAAAGTGATGCCTCCGTTTTTGTAATTTGCATTATCTACAGCAAGATAGGCCATGTGCATCAACTGTGCAGTTTTCGCAGACCATGAAAGCGCTCAACGCCCTTCAATTTTGGGCCGCGGCCATTTTCATAGTGCTTGAGGTAGGTGTGTTTTGCAAACAGTTACAGGCCTTCGTTGTCCTGAGGCCTTGTACAGGGATAAGGTGGATCAGCACCAGGTTCAGTGTGGTTCCGCTCGTCGAGCACCGTTGGTATTTGGTGTTCGCATTTGTTTGATTGTTTTCACCTATATTAGAAACAAGAAGCTTGTAGTAACAAGTGCCACGCTAGTAGTAACAGGTGCCTTACTAGTAGTAACAAAAAGCTATTAGAAACAAGAAGCTTGACAGAGATTGGTACTCTCACCGTTGAGAAACAACACCAAGACCATGGAAGACCCAATCTGTAGTGAGCAAGACAAGCATTGCAGACACAGTGACCGGCACCCTTTACATATGCAAGCTGCATTGAGCAGAGGGCCCAATAGGACTTGAACATAGCATGCTTTTTAATTTGTTTCCCTGACATTTTAGTGTTTGCTTCGCATAGTTTTGCCATGCATCTTGGTACAGGCAGCCATGATGAACGCTACAGCTGATGACTCAGGTTGACTGGTTCACTACAGCTTTCCTTTGAGGTTCCTGGACAATAACACCATATAACACCTAATTAAGTATGTGTCAGAGGATCCTTTTGAATGCCAACGGATGCCAAAGGCGCATTATTTTAGAGGGTTTGGCTATGCCACACGATACTAAAAGTGGCTCAATAATTAGCAAGAAAACTAGCATATTGTACCGACCTACAGTGAAAGCTGCTTGGAGAGTCAGAGAGCAAGACTCCATCAATTCAGCAGATTGAACCTAGTAGCGATGCCAGGAGCCCAGCCCTAGTAGCGTCCTTGCTCCTAGTAGCGATGCCCTTTGTTACTAGGTTTGCTTTGCAACTTCCAATCTGCTTCGTTCAGGTTTGCTTCGGCCGATCTCGGGCGGTCGGCTCGGCCGTTCCGTCGAGTCTCGGTCGGATGACCCGTCGGGGCCATCTCGGGCGGTTTTGACCGTCGCAAGGCCAAAGGAGGCGTGGCAGACTGTCCCAGCACAGAGGAGATCACTGCTTTGAGATGTGGAAGGGACCCCCACAAACAATCTGAAATAAAGGCCTGAATTGCAGAAGAGAGAAGACATGGAGTTGAGATGTGGGCCAGAGCACCAGACAGATGACCTGGCTTTTGGCAAAGCCAGAATAAGCACTGTCATGCAGTACGCAGATCTCTCATCAACATTCATCGAGCACATGCTTGTGAGCTGCATGCTAGCCTTTGTAGGCCATCGCTGGCTTGGGACAAGATGAGTTAGTAACCAGCAACAAGCGTCCCAGAGTTTGTGACAAGATTTTGAGAAGATTGGGAATGCATATTTGGCCGCCACCACAGGAGAATTTGGCTGCCACCACAGGCAAGGGCATTGCCGGACTAATCGCACTGGAACAGCCTCCGGTTCCAGAGTGGGGTAAGAGATGTTAAGAGTGTGGGGAGTGTAATGGACATACACAAAGCTCCTTCCTGGATTCCTAGCTTCCTAGATTCCCGTTAACCCACATACTGGTTTTGGACAAAGACGATTTATTGGCATCAGGTTCTTGTGAATAGAAACGCCCTGGCTGAGGGACTGGGATAAGGTTTGGCCTTCGTAAAGAATCAATCCGACTCCGGTCGAGATATCAACTTTGACTTTTCAATTTGCTCTACCGCTGAGGACACTTTCCCGTGGAAGGAGAAGAAAGGCGGATCCTGACCGCTAGAGAGCAAACATGAGACTAGGTTCTTCAAAGACTTGCCCTTGCCTTACAAAGCACACAGACTCTGTTCTTTATCACGAGTCATGACTTATTGTCTCAACAAATGTAGGGTTGA